CAAAGGGAATAATGCCTATATTAGAAGGTGTTGGGGCAAGTTTTAAAATAATACATTATAAACATTCTAAAATATAGGATCTAGAATGTATATGTACGTACTAGAGTTATATAATGCTACATAAACAACATTTTGTTGGTATAGGACTGCATTGGGACTGAGCAGTTAGAGGCCTTCGCCCAAGAGTTGGCACTGTCACCTGAGTTCCACAGGTGACAGTGAGGCACTGTTTTCCTGGGCTCACTTTCTCCACTTCTAGAATGAGGTGATTAAATAATCATGAAGCTTCTTTCAAGCTCTAACATTCAATGGTAGTGCACACAATCAATTGACTCCCCCCTTCTTTCTCAAAGAAGGAGAGAAGGACACAGGGACCAAAGGACCCATAAGAATACCTGGCTTGTCTTTATCAAGGGTAGGAAAATGCCCCAGCCCTATCTGGATTTCATGGCCCACAAGTTCGTGACCTATGCAACATTCAAGAGGTCATGGCCAGATGTTGTCACTGGCGGTTCAATGACAGCAATTCTCCTCTCCACCCTTGAGCTACAAGGGAAAAAAGATGGTAGAGGTTGTTCAGCTGGTGGGAGTTTTCTTCTATTCAGGCCTTGGGTCCCAGGTGGGTGGGTAAGAGGGTCTATCTCATGCCAAATGCGACCCTTCTTACTCCCTCCCACAATTAATTCTTTGCAGGTTTATTAATTGAGCAACAATTTTTCAATACCAATGACTCATTAAAATGTATAGGAATATTATTCGCCCTCGAAAAAGAAAGAAATCCTGTCACTTGCTACATGGATGAACCTTAAGGACATTATGCGAAATGAAGTAAGCCAGTCACAAAAAGACAAACACTGTAAAATTCCACTTAGATGAGGTACCTTGAATAGTTGTAGAATGGTGGTTGCCAGGGGCTGGGGGGAAGGGGATATGGGGAGTTATTGTTTAATGGACACAGAGTTTCAGTTTTATAAGATGAGAAAGTTCTAGAGATGGGTTGCCTAACAATACAAATATATTTCGCACTATTGAACTGTACACCTAAAAAATGGTTAAGATGGTAAATTTTATGTTATGTGTATTTTACCACAATTGGACGGTTGTTTTTTTTTAATTTAACTAATTATAGGATTAGTTAAATAATTGTTTGGGAAATCAAGAGCAACCAATAATTATAGATTATCACCATTTCTTTCACCTCCCCAAGCACCCCTCTCCTTTTGAACCCAGATGGTTCATAGGTATTTTGGAATCCTGAACACAAAAAGGTTCATATTTATGTCTCTTCTTTTGAAACAATGTGGCCTCTAAAGTATCAAATTAATGCCCCTATTCTAGGCTCCCAGCCAAATATCTACCACACATCCTGCTAACTAGACATTTATTTTGTTGAACAGTCTAGTCTATTATCAAACAAGTATCTCTGGGGACAACTTGTGTATCAGTCATTTATGGAAGAGATCGATGCCTCAATCACTGGGATTTCTCTCTAGCTAAGATTAACACAAGGAAGAGATTTTGAATGGGAGAAGGGAGGGGAAGAGAGTGATTTCAGAACTCATTGCTTTTGGAGAAAGAAAGATATAGAAACAGCATCACCATTAGGAGTGGCATTGAACAGTAAGAGGGCAGCTGAGTCCCTGGGCATCCAGTGCTGGGAGAGAATCAACATGGGGAGAGGGGATGGTGACACAGAGTGGAAAGAAATATCAGAAAGCATTTTGCAGACTAGGTGAGCATTTTATTAAGTCCAACAGTACTCTACTGTAGTTCACTGACTGGTATCTGCCCTGGAAAAATGGAGAATCACTCCCCTGCCACTCTAGCAAATACAGGTCGTTTGCTGCTGGGCGAAAGACCTGGGAGCCCCCTTGGAAGAGATGCTTATGATCCAATTTCCCTAGTGGAAGAGCTGGTTCTACTCAACTGTGTCTGAGGTGGAATGGAGAGAATTCCCAGGAGGGAGGGAGGAGGCTGAGGGGCCCCTGGTCACTGGCAAGGGAGAATAAGGCCAACGGTGCTGCCCTTCTATTGCAAGCTCTCTAATGCAAGAGGCTCAGAGTCCTTCACAGGTGGTCACCAATTTAACCTCACAGCAGCCCAAGGTGGGCTTCCCCCAAGGATGCAAAAGAAAAAGAGAGTAATGAGATAGAAGCTTTCCTTATCTGCGCTGACACTGGCTCTTCCCCTTCACCAAAAGCTAACATCCCAGCCCAAGCCACATCCAGTGCTTTCTGGTGCTGACCTGCTGACGCCTGCAAATGCAAAAGCAGACTCTGGACATCTCCCAGTCTCCCACAAACCATGTGGCAGACACCTGGTCTCAGGAAGCACGTTTCCTCCCTTCCCAAAGCCTTGCTAGAGGAACAGCAGAATCCCTAGTGCAACAGGTGGACAAAGCTACTTCTGACCGTGCGTTAATAATACCTATAAACAAAGATTGAGAGGAGGGGGAAGGACGTAAGTCAGGGCCCCCGAGATCTACTCCCACTGGTTCTCCCCGCCTTTCTCTGTGCCAGGGCTTCAGATAGGAATGATTTGAGATGTTGGCAGTCACCTGGCTCATTAGCTGAAAACTAAGAAATGGCTACTGATTTCAGTCAAAATGGTGGGCTCAATTGTGCTTTTGGAAATCATTGTTACACATACACACTCACACACACACACCAAATGCCTTCTCTTCCTTGTATAGACATGAAATATTCAAACACTTAAGTACCCACACTGGTAAATCTCTTAGTCATGAATGAAACAAATCCCACAAGAAGAGCCCTTATGTGATAAGGCAAGATTGAAAATGAAAATTCAAGGACAGTTGCAGAAAGACCAAGCCAGAATCACCCTCAGCTATTAATAACCAGGCAACTGAAGCACATTGGGATTTGCATAGGCTAAAACCGCCTGGGGTTCTGTTTGGGTATTTCTTCTTCGAATCTCCTCCTCCATGTGCTCTAGGTTTATAATTTCTATTAAACTTGGAGAGTGTTCAAACAAGTAGCTCTGATGTCCAAATATCTAAGCTGGACAGGAAAAGAGGTGTGTTAGTCAACCCAGTGAAACTTTGTCTTTCAAACCTGAATTTTAATTCACTGCCATAATTATCAGGGTGGCCACTCTCAACCTCTGTCCCCTGAGCTGCCATTTTTTAAAGAGATCCCTTCCTTATCTCAAGGCATTTGTCTGCTCCCCTTAAGACATTAGAATTATGCACACAGCTTGTTTAAGATGAGGATACTCACATAACCACGTGAGCCGCAGTAGGGGTTCTGCTGTTCATGCCAAATGATCATGGTTTGGCCTTCGCCTAAGGTACTCACATAGAGAAGTATAGTTCACACTCAGCTTTCAGTGTAAGTTACATTTTTAGAAACTTCTACTTCAATTGTTTGATCACTTGAAACAAAGTGAGCTTTTTGGATTAAGTTCTTCTGGTTGACTCATAGTGAAATACAACTTACCAGGTATCCCTCTCTATGAATAAATCAGAAGACAGGGCTGGGAAAGGAGGAATCAATTAAGTAATTAGTTCCCCCGCCTTTGAAAAATGACAGCAAATGGTTTATCTTTCCTAGAATTGGTCCTACAAAAATGAAAAGCTGCCAAACTCTATGCCACATCAGGAAACGGTAACATGTTTGGGCCATTATCACCAACACTTAATTGTTCTCCAATGAGTTCACTGTAAGCGCACAGCCTAAAGCCCAGACAAATAAATGCTTGTGGGATCGCTCAGTGAATGTGTACAGACAGCTCCCAACTACTCTGGAAGCCCCTTAAGAAGAGATCACCTTGAACTTTTTAAATGGCTAAACTTCCCTCTGCCCCACAATGTAAGGCACACAATAGGTATTCAATAAATAATCAATCATTGACTAATATCTCATTTTCACCAACTGGCCTGAGAAAGAGCAAACAAGTGTTAAAACATTTCACTGTCATTTGTCAGTTGAGAAATTAAGTCTGTGAGGGGGCAAAAATGCACAAGTATGAAGGTCACCCTGATAAAGACAAAACCGTGGTGTGAGAAGATCGCACTTCAAATGCAGTTTTTATTCGTCAGAAATGACGAACCTTTTCTAAAATCAAGGTTTACCAAATTAGTTCTCTTTGTTTCCTCCATTAACACAGTATGGGGGGCGGGGGTCCAAACCATCTTTGACAATCTATTCAAAATATGAAGATGTTTTTCTTTTTTCTTTTTTCTTTTTGACCTTTGAACATAATCCACTTAGTCCCCATCCCCAAAGCGCCTCCCGAATAGGGCAGGCGGAGTGGGGAGCGCTCTGGGAAGCCCTTGCTAAGATACTTAGCGGAACTTTGTCCTCCACATGGACAATTTAGGAGCGTCTGGGTTTCCTCGGGTGACTCCACCACCTCCCTGGTTCTTCTCACTCTGCGAACTGGAGTCAGGGTGATGAGGTTCTCCAAGGCGGTCCGGAAGGCGCTGACCATGGTCCTGGCCTCCGACTCGGAACGCGAGCGTGAAGGGAGCCGCAGGAGGTGGCGTGGATCAGCGCTCGGGGCGCGGCGGGGAGCATCCGTCGAAGCCCCCGCCCCTCCCGAACCCCAGGGAGCCCGTGGGCCTTCACGCGAACCCTCCACCACACGCTCCGAGCTGCATCACAAAAGGGTGGGGCACCCAGCCGCAGCGGCAGCAATCGGAAGCCGCCCGGGAGGATTTAAGAAGAATAGAACCACGGCCCATCCCCATCCCCCACCTTGCGACCCCCCAGCCAGTTATCTGCCCATCCTGTACCTCAACCCCATCCCCCTCCTCACGCCCAGGGAGGTGAAGGCAGCCTTTGTAGGCGCACAGCCGCCCACAGCTGAGCCCGAGCCTTTCCGGGTAGGGTGGGGTGCGTGTACAGATGCGGGGAGGGGCAGGACCGTGGGCACGCTGGGATGCTCGTTTCTCCACCAAGCTAGAAGGGGGACGAGGGAAGGACGATCCCTGAGCCTAGCCCTCGGTCTCAAACACCCGCCTTCCCCACAATACCAACCTGGTCGTAGATGTTCTGCAAGGCTTCTTTGCCCGAGGCCCGCCGGATCTCCACCTTCCGGCCCGATTCAACAGATGGCTCCCCTCCGACACGCCGGCTCTGTCGCGAGTACGGCGGCTGCGGGTCGGGGCCCAAGTGGGCGACGTCCCGCTGCTGAGCCACCACCTGCCCCGAGCCCCGGCCCACCGACAGCGAGTCGAAGTCGATGGTCTTGTTTTCCGAGGACCCTTCCACGGGGCAGAACATGCCACAGAATTTCTGCCGGGGCTTGGGGCTGCCCGAGCCCAGGTTTTTAAAAAAGGCAGGGACCTCTTCGTCCTCTGCTGCCTTCCCAGATTGCTTCCTCTCGGCCATGACGCGGGGTCTCGGGAGGGTCCTCTCGGTCTGTCCGTCCGTCAGCAGTCCCTAAGTCCGCCTCTCAGTGCACACCCCGCTGGCTGCTGCAGCGGCTGCCGCTCTTCGCCTACCGCAAGGTGCACAGAAAGGAAGGAAGGCTGGCGAGCGAGCGACCCTCCCTCCGGGTCCCTCCCCCTGACCCCGCTTTCTCCTCTCCCTGCCCACGCCCCCCGCCGCCGCGCGAGCTCCCGCGAGCTGCAAAGTTGGGTCTGGGAGAGAGGCCGCTGCGGCAGCGGGAGCGAGAGACTGCCAGTT